CGACGAGGGGATTTCCCCGACGAGAGGTCAGATTCCCCCGATGAAAGCAAAGTGGGCGTGGTCGAGCTTCGATTAAAAGGCTTCGAAAATGGTCCGGGGGCGAAGCCCCGAAAAGTTTGACGATTTAGGCCGACGGGTGGGGGGGGGGGGAGGAGCTCTCCCCGACGGTGGAGCGCTTTCCCCTACCCCCACTGGCGCCACCGTAGCAGTAGTAGTAGTAGTAGTATAATATCGGTCCAATTTGTACAGTGCTTTAGTTGTTATTCAAATATTACTGTTATTTTATAGGCTGAGGCTGACATCGAATGGAAGTTTAGTCGTGCAGAGATGTGGATGAGCTACTTCGATGATGCAGCTACTGTTCCCGTGCCCTTTAACCTAGTCCCATCGCCGAAGAGTATTTGGCACGTCATCAGGACAATAATGCGTTGTTTCTGTTACAAGGATGCTGCTAAAAAATCTAAACAGGTTTGGTTCATATTTTATATATACATTAGCAACAGAATTCAGAAAAATATTTTTAGTAAAAATAAGTTTTAGAAAGGAGTATATAACCCTACAACAATGATACAAATGCCACATATTTTTATTGTATCAGTGTTATTGTTTGAAGGTTTGCATAACTAAGTAATAATATATTAAATGCCTGTGGTACACCACGTAGCTATATACGTGGTGTACCGCAAATATTTGATATATGTATCACCTCACCTATCCTCTTCGTGCTATGAGGCACATAAGGCCATAACGTATTCTCTCCATTTAATAAATATGAGTATTCCGTCATTTGTAAACATTATTTATGTTACATGCTCAAATTATATCAACAGTTACACTTACTAATATAACATCAATAACTTAAAATAAGGATATCAACTCAAGTGCATATATGTCACCAATTTCAAATTATAGCATGATAAAAGGTGCAACAGCATTATTACATCTGTTAATGGGATAACACACTTTGGCATACTGGCACAAAATGCGATTCTTTCTATTTGCTGCCGGGGTATTATATCTAGCGCACGCGCATCCAATGCCGCAGAATCCACCCAGACAGAGGCAAACATAGTACAACGCGCCTACCCACGGGCACGAGCTACATTCACAGAGAATGGGTTCGAAACCCAGACTTTGAATATGGAAATAACATACATCAGTCACTGCCCTACCACTGAAAAGTTAACTGATGTATTTAGAATAATTTTCCTATGAGTGTATCAGATGTATTTTGCTCATCATACAGTCCTTAATAAAATATGTAATTGTCTTTTTCAGAAACATTTCCAGAAAGTGGTCGAAAAAGAAAAACTATATGAGGTAAGCATGCAATCTTAGTTTATAGACTCGTAGTCAAAATAGTGGTTATCCCATATACCCTTCTTATAGTATTTCGTTTTGTGCTCATTACAATATAATGGTTGGTAACGACAAACCCTTAATTCTTCTGTCAATTTTCATTTCTTATACCCATTTTTGTTTTTGCTAATCAAGGAAACTGTTCAACTCTTGGTTGCCCGTTATATTGCCGACAAAAAGTCAGATGCGTACGATACAGAGGGCGCTGTGACACAATTGGACATCATAGCTGTGCGTCAAGATATTTCCGGAGTAAAGTAGGCCTAAGAAACTTTTATTCGTCTGGAATTTGAGGGGCCTATTTAAATATTAAGGACTGTCAGTGTACCTTTTTCTCACAAACATACATATATTTTTTTTCAAGATAGACATCATGCTACTTTGTGAACAGCTTCCGGTTGTGGTGTAAGATGCTCGCCTGACCAACGAGAGTCCAGAGTTCAAATCCTGGAAAATTCCAGGAGTTTCTACCACAAATTAAAACAATGCTACTCCCTAAAAATCATTCATTGTGTTACTTATAAGCATCACATTTCCCACTATGTTGTTAAAAGAAATAAAAATATTCATTTATTGATTGAATGATTGGTTGGGTGATTGATTTTCACTGGGGGAATTTTTCTTACGACTAAAAACATCTCCACTTCCTACGCCTCGTAAATAAGTAGGCCTACGTAACCTATAAAAGCATCTTTTCATCCTGTAAGTGGCAAGTTCCGCACTTTGACCTACTCTTTTGATGTCGAAGGAGTTTTTTTTTTTTTTTACTCTTTTGATGAATTTTTTTTTTTTTTTTTTTATTACATAAACATAATACAATTACAGAAATCTGAGATTCAGATTCAGATTCGTGTTAAATTATGAAAAAAAATATTGTTAATGAAAATCTAACAAGTAGTAGAAGACTGATTGCCATTTGCACATTTCACCTGTGTTTTTTTCATCCTTATATTAGAAACGAACTCTCGGAATTTTTGCGGAAAATGGAAGGAACATTGAAACAGTGTGCTGACCAAATACACAAGGTATCAAAACGTGTCAACACGATAGAACGAGTTTTAAAGAACGAGGACCCAGAATCGGAAACAGAAAGCACATTCTCTACAATGGACAGAAGAGGAACCAGCAGTTTGTTCTCCAGCTCAAAGGGTTTCTTATCCGCAGGTGGAATGTTTGGTTCACTATTCAGCAATAAAAATACGAATGAACTTTCACTTACTGTTCCAGCGCCCTCGCATGGTACAAATTCGACAGTAGTCGCAGACGATGATCTCTCTACGCGTAGTGAAATTGAAAGCAATGTAGGTGCTTCGCGTCTGGCTGCGAATTCATATGAATTGGTCTCCACCGATGATTCAGGCAGCTCTGATGAAGAAGATGTAGGCATTGACAACCATGGATACACTTTCGATCCCTCGTACGAACAAAAATCTGATTTTGAATTTGTTGAAAGAGCGGCATCGACGGTAGCGAGTGACGCACCATTAGAACACCCAAAAGGAGATTCCGATGACAAACCCGCATCCCCTACAATCATTGGATCTGTTGTTTCGTTTTTCAAAAAACTTTAGGTATAACGAGTATGGATGTGTACAAGTTGTCAATAACTGTTGACGAAATTCGAACCTCACAAAATAATATTTGCACTTATTTTTCTATTTTAAAACAGGGTAAAAAGCGTAGTACTGAATGAATCCTAGTTCATTAATATGAGACAGAACTATTTAGTTTTAGTTGTTTCCGCCATGAAATATTAATTTATTAATAATAAACAGTTGTATCTTTAAAAATTTACACTGACCTTATGGATATATGTCAGTCAGTGGCATAGCCGCATATCTAGGGTATTGAAATGGGGAGGTTGATCTGGTGGGGCTCGACGATAAAGTGAGAGCCCTTGCTGAAAAATCAATGTGGTATGAAGTGATTTCTAACTACTTGAGCGAATTTTTCAAGTGGTGGGCGACTGCTCAGGAATGCTTGGTTTTTTTTTTTTTTCACCCTC